GTATAAGACGACCCCCCACTTGGAGGCATATTTTTCAGGGCCAAAAAATCGTCTTATACGCCGGCAAATACGGTATGGACCCGAAGGCAGTTTATATTATCATACAGAGCTTGGTTATGATCACTTTGTTAAGACCCCTTTAAGAACTAAACAACTCTCTAAGTCAAGAGTTCTGAACATTTTTCGGCCTCCACGTACCTGAGCGATACAACATACTCCTATTAGGAAGCATGGCTCCTCATCGTGGTAGGAATTCCCAACCATCACATCATGCTCTGGTCAGAGCCCCAGTCAAGAATCATAGCTTTGAATTCATGTCTGACAGCTCGTACCAGAAATCAAGTTTGAAAATGCAGCCTTTTGGACACATTACGTGCTTTTGTGAAGAAAGTTAGAGGAACGTAAGCTACCTTGTCACCTTGGCCCAGGTTCTCCGATTTCACCTCATACAAAGTTTTCCAGTTGGTGTTGCCCCCTGATAGTCCACTCTTCAGGTCTGAGATGGAAACAGCATCTAAGGTTTGTCCTTCTGAGTCAAACCTGAGAAATAAACAAAGGATGGTGGGCACTTTACATACGCACTGAATACACTGCTTACTTCTTTATGCCAGACACAGGCTATCCACAGCCACCCAACTTTCCTAGGTCACGTGGGCTGCAGTGAGCGTCTTCATTGTACCGTAACCCTACTGAAGAAACACGGAATGACCCCTTTTTATCTCAATTGCTTTGATGCCCCCCAGTGGTCAAGAAAGACAGTACCACAGAACCTTTTCTTAAATTAGCCTTGCATACCAACACTGGCCGGAGGGTCACAGGCTCCAAGGCCTAAAAACAGTAACCTGGAAAGTCAACAACAAAAAAGCATTAATGTAGAGCTCTGGTATATTCTTTGGGCTACTGATGCTCACATTCCGTCAGCAGTTGCCTTTTTATCACCATTGAAATGTATCAGTATAGGAAATGACCAAAAAACCCAAAAAATGTTCCCATGGTGAAAGATCTTTTAAAGCCTAATATAGAGCCCGAAAGCTTATATAACCCAAAGTAATTTATTAGAAGGCATTATCTATTTTCTTGTATATTTGCTTTCTTAGTGAGATTTTTCTTGTAGATTTACCTTCTTAGTGAGTATTTTATACCAATACTAAATTTCATTTGTACTAAATTGTTATTAAAATTGATTATACTTCCATCGCATATCAGCCAACATGAAGGAAAGGGGACCAGGGAGCAAATGGCTCAGAAGCACATTTGTGGCAGGGAAGAATGGGTCTGAGATTAAAAACATGCCAATGTCATCCAAAAGGAGGATAACTAAAAGCTAACCACATACAGATCAGGCTCCTTAAAAAGAAACCATCTAATGGAATGGACGCTGCCCTAAGCTGCAGACAATTGCCTTCTCATTCTGTCAGGCAAGCGGCTAAATCCGTCACAGAGGCACAGCAAGGTCTATAAATCTGTTTCGCCACTACTTGCTACACAAGTTTACGGTTTCAAAAACTCCAAGGAGACATTTGCCAACAAAGACAGCTCATCAGGAGTCAACAGAGCAAGGAGAGAGGCAGCCCTTCGTACAATAAAAAGTCCACATTGTTATATCCAAGATCTAAACATCTCCAATCCTGGCCTAGGTGAGGTGTGTGCACTGAACCGCTCTTTGATCAATGCCCAGTTACTTTACTTTGGAGGCAGCCATGTCTTTTTTATGTTGACCGGGATTCACGGTTATTGACATGGGAAATATGAAGACCTTAATGTGGGCATGCAATTAACCTGGGGTCAAGCTCCAGAGCCTGAAAGAAAACCAAGCAATAAAGACCCAAAGCTGTGGAATTTCTGGCTGGACTGCTCACGGGCCCCCTGCCTTGCAATGCAATGCCCGCTACTAGAAGAGTCAAATATAGATACATGTGGACCACACTCATGAGGCTGGTTTATGTGACACGAACACTCCAGTAGATGTCTCATGAAACTATTCAAATACTGGTGGTACTAGTTCACATGAGACTCAAAACAAAAGTGGGGAGTATATAATATGAGCTAATTCTTTAGTCAACTTAAACCCTAAAGGCATAGCTGGAAACCAACCCCCCGCCCCATGACTACAGCTATACAAATTATTTAAGCTCAAGCTAAAATGTTCCCTCTGACCACATCAATTCTTTCGGTTTGAAGTGCTCTTTTGAGGCAGAGTTTTAACACCCTAAAAAGATAGATATAGCGAGGAGATTTTAATAGGCTCTCCTCAGCCCGAGTGCTTTGGGAATAACAATAAAATGGCAACAAAAGCCCATTGTTCTCACTGTACTTTATCAGAGTCCAGTGAATACACGCTAGGAGATGTAATCGGCACCAGAGACTGGACAGAACAAGAAAGCACTTTCTCTCCCCAACAGCATGGTAACCCACAGCTTTAAACCTGGGAAAGAGGGATGCCTTGGGCACACAGCAGCTAAAGCGTGGCCTCATCCTGCTTTGGCGGGATTGAGGTTGGCATGCAGCACTTCCATTCTAATTGCCTCCTCCTCCGACTCTCCAGGTTTGTCTGGGATTACAGGTTTGTCAGTTTAAGGGCTTTAAAGCGATCCTCTCAGAAGGCATAATGCCGCCGAAAAATATAGAAACTGCTCCTTTCAGTACGAAGCCCTCTGCTTGGCAGACAGCTCACATACTGATTGTAAGAACCAATAGAACCAGCTCTTCTCAAAGCCTAGGCTTAAATAGCCCCTTTGTTTAGCCTCATAACACCTACCATCCGCGAAGCTTATAGGCCTCTGGGATGTCAGGATTCACAATGACTGTGCTAGAAGACAGGACAGAGAGGCTCCGGCCACCAAAATCAGAAACTCGGGCTCCTTTGATAGCCATCACGGGTTGTCTAGAACCATCAAATTTATCAGCCTGCATAACAACAAAAATACCAAATACAAACAAGTGTCACTGGCAGGAAGAACACACAGAGCATTTTTACAGAAAACAAGGAAAAACAGTCAATAGCAGAGTAAATGCAATAAATGGTACATGAAAGCTATACAAGATAACCTCACAAGCAAGAATCTGCTCAGAGATACATCAAAACTAATGCAGAGTTAGAAGAAACAGCATTTCACTATGTAACACTTAAATTGTAACACATCTCACAGACGTAAATCAAATGAAGGTTTTTGAATATTCCCCAGACAGTGCAACCCTTCATTAGGACAGGTCTACAGGGGCAAAATTCCACAACTCCCGGGACAAGTCACCCCTTTCTGCATGTGCTCTGGCTGCTCAATCCAAGTACTTACGTCTTCTCCCCACAGAGTAGCGGACACCACTTTCCCTGACATGTCCATCAAATAGATATTTCTCTTAGAAACTTCTCTGTTGTTAGACTTCACCGTGATTTTAGTGGCTTCTTCACAGCTCTTGCAGACCCCAATTATGTCTAAAACACAGGCAACAATGTTTCAGCGTGAGACGGTCAAGGCTGTCATTACAGCATGACCAGCAGGCAGGTTATGTCTTATGCCTCCCCTGTGTGTTACATACAACACTGATAATCAGCACTCCCTTTGCTCTCAGACACAGACTTACCTACAAGCGAGTCCTTAGATTTGCTCTCTAGGTCGCCAATCCCTGTAAAATCAAACTTAACGGTAGGTACATGATGATCATCCTCACAGGGCATGACATTAGTCTCATTATTGAAGGTCATCTCATAGTCGTTTTTAACAGCCGAGAATTGTTTGTTAGCAATCTTCAGAGTGCCTTTAGAGAAATAATAGACCTGCAAAAGAGACCAAGCCACAGAACATCAAACTGGACATAAAAACCCTATACCACCACACAGCTCTCCAACGGACAAGAGTCCCCTCATCCTCACTCCCCCGCACTGCTCAGCCGTTTCAGTTCTAGACTTGACACATCCATACCTTGTTTACATCGATCAGAGGAAAGAACTTGTCCACTTGCTCATTGAAAGCAGTAGCTCTGATTTCGCCCTGTGGAAGCATGCAAGAGCAGGTTAGAATTGTGTTCATTAAGTTTTGCCAGTGAAAAACAGGACACTTTTTATTTTTAAAGTGTTAAATGACGTATTTAAAACAGTAGCACAAGCACAAATGAGATCAGTGAGAGGGCTGCAGACACCCCAGAAACATACGTTTTATTTTATTTTAATTTTTAAGGAAGGCGCAGCTCAAAGTGGCGGGGATCGAATTGGCAACCTTGTTCAGAGCATGTGCTCTAACCAACTGAGCCACCCGGCCACCCAGAAACATACGTTTTATAGTTACATTTTAATCTTATGAAACAACTTAAGTTTAATTAGCTGATCCTGGTATCGCGCTTTATCAACCTCAAGTTAGAACCTGAAAAAAAAAACCAAAAAAAAAAAACCCCCCAACAAACCCAAAAGTGAGTTTAGGTTAATACTCTGACAACAAAAATAAAACAGCTTTGAACACTGAGTGACACGACTAAAGCCCACGGGAAGTATGCTGAACCATGATTCACCAGCTTCCCTCGCATTTGCACTAAGTGAAGAATTACTTCATATTCCTGAGTCACTGCCAAAAATGTTACAAGTCATGTTTTCAAGTTGTTTGTGATTTGATTTTCACGTTTACTTTTCATCAGTCAAAATGCTACAGATGGGTAAGAAATTTAAGTAAATGACTGAAACTTTGGCCAACTGACAGAATAGGCCAATAATTTGGTTAAAATAAAAAATTAAGTTCTGATAGTGAGTCAAGTATTACACAGTCGATACATTTGGGGTGTCATTCCATCTTTCAAAAACCAACCCAATTTTGTCTGCCCTCTTAGAGCTTTGAACAAATAGGAAATATGTGGCAGTTTGAAAACAATGCTTGAAGTACATGTTAAGAATTATAAACAAAACTAATGGGCAGAAGAGAAACAGCTAACAAGACTGTGGAGATTCCACAGCTTGGGTTTTTTGTCTCCTCATCATGGTTTGGTTTGGCTTATGTAAAGCACGTAGAGAGTGTGCACAGTCAGAATTCATCTCCCACAAAACCATTCACTCATCCAGGTAGCTGCCTCGTGCCTCCCGCTGGGGACCCGAGCTCCACTTCGCTCATAAGCAGACATTACCTCCTGCGGCTTCAACTACGCCTGGCAGCAACTCAGACAGAGCACCTCTGGTTTCTCCTGCCCATGAGGCTGCTTACACATTTAGAAAACTAATTTCCACTGCAGCAAATGCTGTCGTTGAAGGTCAAGGATTTTATTTATGACCTTTAACCCAACAAAAGACCGCAACAGAGGAAAAACAACAGCAACCATCATGTTTCTTGTTGGCCTGCTATTGTTTTTCACCTCATGGGCCTGCACAGGGCCTGTGTTCCTCAGCTACTACTCCTATTGCCCACTTGACAAATACTTACACTTTCATCCACTAGTTCGAGAGAGAACAGCTTCCCTTCCCCTCGGGAGTTGCTCCAGGTACGGATCTGACTTTTGTTGGTAACACGAGCACAAATAGTCCACCTGAAAACCGAACGGATTATATTAGTGTTCAGAGTCTTACTTGGGAAAGATCTGAAAGGTTGCATAATATGTTCCTATATAGCCTTTCTTATCTTCTGCACACTCCATTTTTCTACAAGGTAAGCTATATTTTAATCTGCCTAATTAAACCCCCAAGATGACATACAGGTTTGACAGTTTATGGAATAACCAAATTGTAAAACATACAAGGTGATTTAACACTAACTCATTCTCCTGTCAAATAAGTAAATTTATAAACTCTCTCCCTTCTCCAAAAAGCATCACCAAGGCAACAATATCCCCTTAATGACAGTTTCAAAACTAGAAAATGCAGTAATACCAGCAATTATATTTTGCCACTATTTTCATTATGGGAACTGATATAACTGGTGTCAAACTCCTGTCTTGTTTCTAATATACAGTGGATAGAAATAAGGCGTTATGGAACATGGTGTTGGTAAACCCCTAAAGAAAAACACACTCAAGCAGTATGACCTCAGACAGAAGCCACTAAAAAATGAGGACAAGATCCAACATCCATTCTTGAACGCAGGCCATGGGTAGGTACATCAGTTACCTTCCTTATAGTTTCACAGGGGGCATATCTTCCCTACACTGCAAAGAACTGATGGATAAAAACAGATCTCATTTCTGAAAAGAGAACTTACTAATTTGCAACTGCTAAAATTAACTTTTTTTTAAATTAGTTTCAGGTGTACAAAACAATAGTTATACCTTTCACCCCTCACAAAGTGACAACTCCCCTCCCCCAATCCACCGCCCCCCTGCTAAAATTAAGTTTTAACAGAAAAAAGTCATATACAAGAAATATCTATTCAGGGTATATTAATGTGGTTACTACAAACAGTATAGATTCTTTAAGCCAACTAAATAAGAGCAACATTTTTTTTAGACTAAAAGTCACCTATTTATATGATGAGAAGGTAAAATAAATGCTTTCTGAATTGGAATATTTAGTTTTACTCATAGGACTACCAGCTGATTCTTTAAGCATTAAATATTTTAAATTTTAAAATGAATGAAACTCCACACGCTATGGCAGATTGCTCTTTTTGGCCATTCTTTTCTGATGAGAGTTCAAGGTTGCCACAATTTGTACGCTCCTCCCCCCTCAGGAAAAAAAAAAAGAGAGAATGCTTATTTTCTGTGTGGTTAACAGTTCACACATAAATAAGTCTAGCGCCCATAATAGCTATCCTTTTACACTATTTTGTAAGTACATTCTAAACTTATTCTATGGAATAACTCACTTGGATTGGTAAGGGGTGAGACTAGCAATCGGTACCACTTTGGCTTGTGTTCCCCCAGAGCTGTTCACTAAGCCTGTTCCTCCAGCTTTTCCAAATATCTTTGCGGCACCATAATCCTTAGATGCAGTGGAACCTTGAAAAAAAAAATACAAAGGACAATCATTACTCTATTTATATTTTATAGTTACGTTTTTGTGATAACACTCCATTACTGAGGTATCACTGGTGAAATCATACAAAATGAGAGGCGAAGTTTTTCCTTTTCAGTAATCAAGAGACATGGAGGTCAAATAGAAAAGCGATCTAGGATGAAGGCTGGGCACTGAGAAGTTCACTAGATAGTTGCTGACTTAAGCCCTGAGGTCAAGAAAATAATGGTAATGAACCCAGACACTGCTCTTTTGAAGGTTCTCCCTCCTTAAATTTTTCCCTTACGTCAATGGGCAAGGTAATGGGTCAGAGAAAGAAAATCAACCTCCTCGATTGGTAAAACTGATGGCAAGTCACTAGGTGCATAAGAAAAAAAGCAAAAGGAAAGGCTAGTAAGTAAGGGACATAGTGTAAGAACCATCTGAGGTGAAGGATACCTGTCACAAATATATCGCCTCAAAATATCCCCAGAAAACTCCCAGTCCTAAGCTGGTCTATGCAAGTGAAATGTCCAGAATCAAGTTCACAGGATTGAGTTTAGCTGAGAGCAAAGGGCAAGGATCAGTTGTTGGTTCAAGACAAGCAGGTAGTTGGCCACCAGGATTCCTTCTGCTTCCTTTATCCAAGCTGCAGGAGCTGACTTGCACTTGGAAAGGATAAGTAATTAAATCCTGTAAGCTCATGAATTTCTCTGTATGCGCACTGTTTCTATAAAGCTGCAACCTCCAAATCAGGTAGCTACCCATCAACACACGTCTAGAATTCCTTCTTTCACTACCCAGCTGATTTGGGTTTAGGGAACATTCACTAATTTTTTTTTTTTAGATTTTTTATTGGGGAATTGGGGGAAGGGGAACAGACAAGTTGCTGTCGTTTTGTTCTTCAGTCTAGTTGTGGAGGACGTTGCTTCACTGGCCCAAGTTGGCACCATCATTGCGCTCTTCACGGGCGAGGCAGATCAGTCGCCGGCTTCTGGATGGCCACTCACTGCAGCTGCTGGCCGCTCACGCTGGCTGCTGGCTATACATGGTAGCCCATGGCAACCCACTGCCACAGGGGCTGCTGCCCACGCCGTCGCTGGGGACTCACAGCAGCCCAGCTCCAGGTTGAGCTGTTGTTCAGCATCTTAGATGTAGAGGGCAGTGTCACTGGCCCTCATATGTGGGATCCAAACCGGAGCCCTCTGGCGTCCCAAGCCAGCTCTTAACCAATGCACCACTCGGCTGGCCCCATTCACTGATTTTTACAGTTAAATATTAATATAAGCCAAAGATAGACAACTGAGAAAATAAATCTGTGGAAGGGGGGAGAGGAATAACACTACTATTTGTATTTCAGACTAAGGAAGTATTAGATTATTTAGCATTTTAGATAATCTGTTCTACCACCTCCCTTCAACAGTAGCTAATTTAAGACTTGTGTATGAATAGATCGCTTATAAAGGGAGATAGATAGACGGTAGGTAGATAGCTTTTGCAAGGTAGATAAAAGCATCACATACCGATGGGGAAAAGTTGTATGAATTAAAAGTTTCGGGCTGGCCGAGTGGCGCGATGATTAAGAGCTGGCTTGGGATGCCAGAGGACCCCGGTTCGGATCCCACATATGAGGGCCAGTGACACTGCCCTCTACAGCTAAGATGCTGAACAACAGCTCAACCAGGAGCTGGGCTGCCGTGAGTCGCTGGCAACGGCGTAGGCTGCAGTCCCTGCTGCAGTGGGTTGCCATGGGCTACCGTGTGTAGCCAGCAGCCAGCGTGAGCGGCCAGCAGCCGCAGTGAGCGGCCGTCCAGAAGCCAGCGACTGATCTGCCTCGCCCGGGAAGAGCGCAATGATGGTGCCAACTTGGGCCAGTGAAGCAACGTCCTCCACAACTAGACTGAAGAACAAAATAACAGCAACTTGTCTGTTCCCCTTCCCCCAATTCCCCAGCACTGTTCCCATCCCCCCAATAAAAATCTTTAAAAAATAAAATAAAAAAATAAAAGTTTCACAGAAACATTAGTGACACCTTAACTTTGCTTTTTTATTTTAGATTCTTAGCATTGAAAAATAGCAACCAATAGTTGAGTGGAGGAGAGGAAGTGGTGGATGTAAAGCTGTGACAGAAAAAAGGACCTCTAAAGATAAATCCAACCAAATTCTACAAATCATAATTTTCAATGGTGGTTCGTAAAGCAAAGGCCAGAAAGGAAACAAAATGATCCATTACAGCCTCTCAGCACCTGCTGCAGAGAAAGGTAAAAGAAGAAACCATTTCTCATCAACGAGGCTGAGAAGCAAACCTATGACCAATATAAATGACCCTGTCTTCAAGCTTAGACAAATAACCGCGGGGGTCCAAAAACGGGAAACGTGGAAAGAGACAAGCCAAATTTAATAAGCGGATCCTAGTTAAAAGGCTAGAATTTAAAAGGTATGTAAATTCACAAAGTCAAGAGGGTGGAAAACCTAAGATATGAGAAACCACCAGAAAACTACTGACAGAGAACGGTATATCATTCTGATACAAAAAAAAAAGGCATATTAAGTATCTTGACAAGACTATCTTTAATCATTTTTTTCAATCACACACTTTGCAGTAAGAACTGGAATTATTCTTTGCAAGAAGCAACTGTCATGAATGGCATTTTGAAAACTCCCTTTAGTCCCAGATTAAATTTCCAAACATTATTCAAAAGCCTGACACATATAATGAGCACAAGTCCCCACGTGGCAGTCTTACCCATTCCTGGGCTCCCATTCTGTTGCTGGGGCTTGCTGGTTGGTGGACTGGCTGCTGAGACTGGAGAAGGAACTACCTGCTGCTGCTGCCCATGTCCTGAGGATCAAAGAGAAAGACCATTTTGGTACAAATAACTTGGGTTAAAAAGAGTTAAACTTACGTAAAGAAATACTCGGAGAAAGTATGAATTTTTTATTTTGTCAAAGGCTCTCCAGGGTCAGAATTCATGCTGGGGCAGGCAACTGCACGCAGTGAATTTGCTAGGGGTTTACTTTTGTCTTCATGACATCAAAGGTTGGCTTCATTTACCTTTCACCTGCTTATAATTGATAGCTTTCGGTTTTAATGAGGTTCTCCCCTAAAGCCTTGCCCATTTTTCCAGCATGAACCTGAAGGAGAGTCACTGGGCTGAATCTGTGACAATATCACTATTTCCATAGCAACAAATCGATGTCATCAACAGAACTGTATGTTCGCGGCAGGATCTATTAGAAGAAAAAGCTGGGTGGTAAGAAAAACCTAAAAGCAGTTCAATTGTCTCTGAAGTGCTCTTGCTTCAAAGGAAAGCAGACATTCAGAAAGGATTCTACCCCTTGCCTCCCAAACAAAGCAGCCTTATTTTGCAACTGACGGTTGGTGGAAAGTAAGAGTTGAAAGAGCCTCAGGTACCCTGAAGTGCTAGTGAACTGTCACAGCAGGAAGAGATGAGAATGGAGTTCAGAAGCAGGTGTGTCAAGGAAACAGGAAGATTAAAAGGAAAAGAGGGGAAATGAACGTGTCTCTCAAGCAGAAAATAAGAAATACCATACATACCATGAGAGTGTTTATTTACCCCTCACTCTTTCTACAAATGTTTATTAAGTTAAAAAATGTTAAGATAAAAAAAATACACCTAATTGGGGGGGGGGGAAAGCCAGATTTACAGAATTTGATTTTTCCTTTGTAATTGGCACTACAAGTAGAAGGCAACCTAATCTGCCTGGGCTGTTCACCAAGAGTGTTGCAGCACACAAGTCCAGCTCAAAAAAAATTTCCTCTAGGGCCCTCAGAATAAAAATGGTGAGCACTGCCGGAAAAGCTCCCCTCCTGTCACCCTGTCTCTGCCTTCTCCAGTCACTGGGTTTATTCCTGCTGGGTTTTCCAAGACCCTAACTCAAATGGGCATATTACACACCGATGTCATTTCCTTCTGCCAGTGTCACTCTTAACTGGTACGACTAAATGAGAGTAAACTGTGCCATTAGAGTAAAATTAATTTAGCGTAAAATTAAAAAGGTTAAAGAGAATTGGTTTATTCTTTAGTTCTTCCTATGGAGAGAAAAAATTGAGAGACCTTATTTACATAGGAAAAAGAACCTACATTCTTGACAATGAATTTTTGTGGTTACTTTTTAGCTTTTCCACTATCTCTGAATTTATAAAGTATCACACGAAATTGAATGGGAAAACTGCTTGTCTTTGATAACGTGTCTTGTGAAGGAACATTCTGAAATTCTACAATGAACCTTTTTTAAAAAATCAGCAGGGAAACGATGAGTTGCTCAGTAAACAGTATTAGGGGCTAAATGGCTGGAGAAAAAACTTATTTTTACATGCTTCATGAAATATATTCAAAAGAATAAAAAGATTTAAACCTTCAAAGGCGGTACCATAAATATACAGACCCCTGCTCTACTCCATTGTAGTTCCTTCCTCTCTTCCATATCCAACCTCTGGAGTTCTTCCTCATTACCATGTCTGCTTCTTCAAGTATCTTACTGAACAGGACACGGTCAAGGGATCATGCTGACCCCTTATGTTTAATTTCTATCAAAATGTAATCAACATTTATGAGGTGTCTGGAGGAAATTCACACAGACAGAAAGTAGAATAGTGGTTACCAGGGGTTGGGGAAGTGGGAAATGGGGAGTAATTGTCTCACGGGTACAGAGTATCAGTTTGGGATGATGGAAGAGTTCCAAGTGGTGATGTGAACGTCCTTAATGCCACTAAACTGTATACTTAAAAGAGGTTAAGCTACAAATTTTGTTATGTATATTTTACCACAATTTAAAAAAATGTAACTTGCCTGTTTACCTATTCTAAGATGAACACTTTTTGACATTTTAACATACAAATTAAAATTAATGTATTATAATTTCTTTTTAGTAGTATATAATGTAATGGTAGAGTCTTATAAGCATTGAAATCTTAGATTCAATGAAGTACAATATTTAACAAGACTCCAATTAGGCCCTATAATAGATATTAGAACTAGCTACCATTTTTGAGCTCTTACTGTGTACCAGGTACACAGTTAAATGCACTATTCCATTTAATCTTCAACCCTACGATATATTGGGTTGTCCGAAAAGTCATGATGTATTTTGTCTGTTTTTCAAAGGTCATTTATTTATATAAAGAACAAAGATCAATCAATGATATATAGCCTGTTTTGTTCAATAACCTTTTGCCATCTTTCAGTGAGCTTCATAATTCCTTGTTCATAGAAGGACTTGTCTTTATTTGCGAAAAACTGAACAAGGTGCTAGTTTATAGCCTCATCTGATTTGAACATTATACCACGCAAGGAGTTTTTTTGTTTTTTTTTTTTGTTTTTTAAAGATTTTTATTGGGGAATTGGGGGAAGGGGAACAGACAAGTTGCTGTCGTTTTGTTCTTCAATCTAGTTGTGGAGGACGTTGCTTCACTGGCCCAAGTTGGTACCATCATTGCGCTCTTCATTGGTTAGGCAGATCAGTCGCCAGCTTCTGGACGGCCACTCACTGCGGCTGCTGGCTGCTCATGCTGGCTGCTGGCTACACATGGTAGCCCATGGCAACCCACTGCAACAGGGGCTGCAGCCTACGCCGTCGCCGGCGAACTCACGGCAGCACAGCTCCAGGTTGAGCTTTTTGTTCAGCATCTTGGCTGCAGAGGGCAGTGTCACTGGCCCTCATATGTGGGATCCGACCCGGGGCCCTCTGGCGTCCCAAGCCAGTTCTTAACCATCGCGCCACTCTGGCCCCACGCAAGGAGTTTTGAAGAAAGCGAAACAAGTAGAACTCTGACGGCGCAAGGTCAGGCGAATATGGTGGGTGTGGCAACACATCCCATCCAAGCTCCTATAATTTTGACGGGTGATCAAACTTGTGTGTGGTCTCGTGTTGTTGCAATGGAACACAGCTCCTTTCCAGTGAACAAGCTCTGGACGTTTCTGGATGATGGATTCTTTCAAACTGTCCGATTGCCAACAGTACACATTCAAATTGTTTGGTTCCTTGGTAGGAGCTCGAAAAACACTACACCTTTAAAATCCCACCATACTGAGAACATAACCCTCGTCTGATGAATGTCTGCTTTTGATGTCGTTTGAGGAGAATCATCACGTCGGGACAAGACTGTTTGTGCACCACATTGTTGTAAACAATCCACTTCTTTTTTTTTTTTAAAGATTTTATTGGGTAATTGGGAGAGGGTAACAGCACTGGGGAATTGGGGAAGGAGAACAGATAAGTTGCTCTCCTTTTGTTCTTCAGTCTAGTTGTCGAGGACATTGCTTCACTGGCCCATGTTGGTATTATCATTGCACTCTTCCTGGGTGAGATAGTCGCTCGCCGGCCATTGGACGGCTGCTCACGGCAGCTCACGAAAGCTCATGCCTGCTGCCGGCCGCCCCACTGTAGCCTACGCTGTTGCCAGCGGCTCACGGCAGCCCAGCTCCAGGTAGAGCTGCTGTTCACCATCTTAGCTATAGAGGGTGCAGCGTCACTGGCCCTCATTTGGGATACGAACCGAGGTCCTGCTGCTCAGAGCTGGCATCCCAAGCCAACTGTTAACCAACGTGCCACTCGGTCGGCCCAACAATCCAGTTCTCATCACCAGTTATCAGTCGCTTCAAAAATGATTGTTTTCCTCACGTTTAATGAGCATATTGCAGATGTTTATACGCGCTGTCAAATGAACTTCTTTGAGTTCATGCAGAACCCAAATATCGAGCTTGTTTACGTATCCCAGTTTCTTCAAGTGGTCGTGAACACTTGAATGATGGATGTTCAATGTTCCTGCAATCTCTTGTGTCACGTAACGTGTGTTTGACTCGATCAATGCCTTTATTTTGTTGTTATCAACCTCGGTGGGCCTCCCTGACTGAGGAGTGTCATTGAGATCAAAATCACCAGCACTGAATTTCGTGAACCATCACTGGCACTGACGTTCTTGTAGAGCATTGTCATTATAAACTTTATGCAACTTTTCACAAGCTTGACGTGCGTTCTTCCCTTTATGGAAGTAAAACAGTAAAATATGGCAAAAATGCAGTTTGGTCTTCCATCTTCAACTTGTAAAATTTCCAAAACTCAACCAAAGTGCTCAATTTTTTTTTTTAGAATAAAGCTAGAACTGTCAGCTGTCAAATGACATAGCAATAACATAGATGCGAATGATCTAGTACTTCCAAAAATGGACTAGTGCCATCTATTGCAAACATACATCATGACTTTTCCGACAACCCAACAGATAGTATTATTATACCCACTTAACAGATGAGAAAACTGGGTTAAAGAGATCATGTAACTTGTCCAAAGTCACAGCTAGGAAGAGGCAAGATCTCATCTTAAACCCAGGATTGTCTGACTAGATCCATCCACTTCACCATCTAGTTAATATTTAATTGTAAGCCACCAATTCTGGCAGCCAAAACTCTAATTATAGAGTTTTAATAACTAATAATAACTAGTTTTAATAACTAAGTTTTAATAACTAAGTTTTAATAACTAATAACCCTCATATCTGGTAGCTAGGAAGCTACTAATCCATTTATCAGAGCAATCTTTAACTCCTGCTTTGGACCATATTTACAAATCATGCATAAGACACACGAGACAGTCTCAAAGTAAGTGGATGGCAAGAATCCTGGTGCATTCTGTATAGCAACAATTGCTCTTCCATTTAACACACCCCAACACAGCTGCTGACCACAGACCTGAAAGAAATCAGTCTATAGCTCAATAAAAATCTTCCTAAATTTAAAATTATACCCCAAAGCAGAAATGCAGAGACTCAACTTCTGATACTCTTCTGTTTTGTGCCATTTGTAAATCAAACAATTTCAGTAA